TACAGAGATCCTTTATATTTTTATAAAATATATTTTGGCTTCTTTACATATTTTCATGTTCTCACAGGAAGGAGACTATTATTTTGAGCTACAGTTCTTGGTATAGAATATATAAAATATGGAAAATGTTTATGTTTTGAAGTTTAGAATTTATCTTTTCAAACCCATTTATATTTTCTTTTCAGTTATGATTTTGGATGACAACATGCAAAAATTGAAGGCCCGATGTTTGGGAAATATTGTGGTAAAGTAAGCAAAAATTATATCTTTTCTTCTTAAAAGAAAAATACTGGAAAAAATACTAGAGAAAATTAACTGCATCGATATTACAAGTAAAGAGGTTGCAGGATGAGGTGTGTACTTTTTGTTCTTATTTTTTATTTTCTTAAATTATTTTATTTATTATTTTTATTTTATGTGTATGAGTGTATTGCCTGCATGCAGGTAAGTGCACCTGTGTTGTGCAATGCCCATGGAGGACAGAAGAGGCCGTTGGGTCCCTGGAACTAGAGTTAGGGACAGCAGTTAGCTGCCACGTGGGTGCTGGAATTTTAATCTGGGTCTTCTGAAAGAACAACCAGTATTCTTAATCACTGAGCCATCTCTCCAGGCCCTTGTCTTTATTTTTGATTGAGCTTTTGTACATTTCATACAACAGTTCTAAATCAAATTCAGACCCCTTCCCCCACCAACGCTCCCTCTTGCCCCTCCCCCCCACCAAACGTCATGCATTCCACCATGTATGTTAAGTCCTATCCACTCATTCGTTTCTACACAGATGTCCTTTGGTGCAAATTCATCCACTGGAGTAGTCAGCCTATCTAGAGATCATAAAAAAGGTCTACTCTCACTCACCCAGTAGTAGTCTCTAACAGTTCCCAGACCAGGATTGGCCCACCACCCATTTCCCTCACTCCACTCTAGGCCCTTGTCTGATTGAGTTGGCATGAGTATTGTGCTCAACGTCACTATTGCTGCAATTAACATGTGCAAGCTTCCAGTTACCTGAAAGCCTCTGTTTCCCTATGTTCATGGACCAACCTGGCTCTTCCAATCTTTCCACACCCTTCTGAAATGGTCCCTGAGCCATGGGTAGGTGAGGTTTAACATAGGAGTCCTATACAGGGACACACACTTTGCAGTGTCTTATTCTTTAAAACTTTGCCAGCTTGGCCCTCTGTGTGCATCACACTTTGTTGTATAAGAAAGCTTCATTGTTGATAGTTGAGGAATGCACTAGTTTTCTCTCTACCACTTTTTCCATTATGTTCCATGAGTCTTATTTGCAGAGGTTCCATTGTAGATATATCACCTAGGACTGGGCATCTCTCAGATGTATTTTCTCTGTTTGTGACCATTGTGGAACTCTGCAGTAGCCTCCATCTGTTTCAAATAGAAGCTTCTTTGATGAGTGGTACAAGGCATACTTGTCTATAAGAATCCATATTTAACATATGGTAAGAAAATGCATTTTTCCAGAGATGGGAATTCCTCTAGGATCTATGATCCCTCCAGCCATATGTATTTAGCTATGTTTACAATGCCACCCACGAATTCACTCCCATTGAGACGGTTTTAAGTTCAATTGGATAGCTATTGATTATCCCCCAGATAACACTGTCACTACAGCACCAATAAAGGCAGTTTGCTGTGCCCGTTGTTATGACTATTAGGCCTTAGGCTGGGTTAGACGATTGATTTTCTCTCTTGGAAGCTTACATAATACTATCTAGACTTATGAGAGCTAAACATCAGATAGAAGCCTTCCAGGTCAGTTCCTGCTCCATTTCTCCAAGTCCTTTGTCTGGCACTGTGTTCCTTGCCAAACAGCTCCCAGGTGTATACATATGCATTAATGTTCAGACACTGTATATGCATTTCTCAGGGGGTTCCAGAGCCAATGCATTTCTCTCTGGCTTCCCTAGCACCCGAAAATCCATTCATCGTTACTTTCTGTCCCCCCATCAAACCTCCCTCCTCCCTCCCCAGTCCAAGTGGTCCCATTAGCCTCACCCTCTCCCCATAACACTTGCCTCCCACCATCCCTCCTCCCCTGAGTTCCCTCCATCCCTTCCACCATGGCCCCTTGCATGTCCTTCCCACCTCCCCCTCCAGTCGAGCACTCCCACTTTCCTCATCGCCCCCAATCCCCAACATCTGTTCCCTACTATCTCCCTCTTCCGGGCTCTTTCCCTTTTACCTCTGTGCTTCCTTTCCATTTTCCTGGCTGCTGGTGTTACATCAGGATATAAGCAATTGGTACTATGATCTACCAATGAGGAAGAACATATGTAGCTTGCTTTTCTACATTTGTGATACTTCACTTACTATAACAGCCTCTAGTTCCATCCATTTTCCTGCAAATTTCATAATTTCATCTTTTCTTACTGCTGAATAGAACTCCATTGTGTAAATGTACCACATTTTCATTTTCCATTCGTCAGTTGAGGGACATTTAGGTTGTTTCCATTTCTTAGGTACTGTGAAGAGAGCAGCAACAGACATAACCAGGGGACCCATCCTCTTGTAGAAGGTGTGTATTGTTTGAGAATTATTCCAACACAATTGTAATTTAAAATGGAAGCCCCATAAAATAAAACAAATTTAGATAGATTTAAAAAAATATAAATCTTGGGCTGGAGAGAGATGGCTCAGTAGTTAAGAGCACGGACTGCTCTTGCAGAGGACCCAGGATAGATTCCCAGCACCCATATGGCAGCTATGTACCGTCCTTAACTCTAGTTCCAGGAAAATCCGAAGCCCTCTTCTGACCTCTGTAGCACTGCATGACACAGGTGCACTCACATACATGCAGGCAATACGCTCATATTCATTAGACAAATGCTGTATAGATGACAAAAGCAGCTTGCACATTAAAAATATAAAATGATAAGGGCTGGAGAGATGGCTCAGCAGTTAAAAGCACTGGCTACTCCTGCAGAGAACCTGGGTTCAATTCCCAGTATGCACATGGTGGCTAACAACTGTCCATAATTCCAGTCCCAGGAAATTCAACACCCTCCTCTGACTTCCTCTGGCATTGCACAGCATGGGTGTACCTACTTACATGTAGGCAATAAACTCATATGCATAAAATAAAAATAAGTAAAATATTTTAAAAAGATATAAAACAGTAATTTCTCTGCTCCCATCACTCAGCAACACATGATTAATTTTGTAATATACAGTCCTGTACTGCATAATAATGTTTTGGTCAGCATTTGATTTCCCTCACATAATATGGTACTCTTGTAAGATTTTGATGGAAATGTCCTATCACTTAGTTACATCCTTTTAGTGAACATAGCACCGAGGAGCTTGTGTTCTTACTGCTGCAAACAGCCTACTGTATTACTTGCCTTATACAATTATATCATTTCTAGTGTGTATGATTCATAATATTTGATAATTGTTAATTAGTAATTGTTGCCAGCTTCTATATTTCATATACTATATATTTTACTTATTTACCTATTGTACTATGGAAAATATTATTATAAGAGTATGGCATTTTGCAGTATCACTAAATCATAAATGTGAAACATTTATTATTATTGTTATCTTGTACCTCTTGTTTGGATCACATGTCCAAAATTTTGTCACTATCATTTAGGTTTACAAAAATAAACTGTATGGACGGGCGTGTTGGCACATGCCTTTAATCCCAGCCCTCCAGAGGCAGAGGCAGGCTGATCTCTGTGAGTTCAAGGCCAGCCTGGTCTACATAGTCAGTTCCAGGATAGCTGGGGCTACAGAGGGACCCTGTTTCAAAAAGACCACCCCCCAAAATAAAATAAAATAAAAA